TCATAAAATCATGACTGCAAAATCTAGATTATTGCAAACGCTAAAGAATGCATACTCTTCTTATATGCAACAACTTCTAATTCAGTTGGCAGTTTTGAGTCAGTTTGTTGGATAAGAAAGGGAACAATCTCTCACCGGATGTTTGGAATGTAAGGTTTGAGCAGAATCTTTATAAATCGGATGGAAGGACAGACAGACATGCGATATGAGCAGCCAAGAGCAAAAGATGGCACGTTGCGAAACATACAAAAATGAAAATATGTACGACGATTATGAGAGAAGGAGCAAATAAAAACCACACCAAGGCATATTTTATGTATCATTCAAATGCCTGGCCATTTACACAAATTTGGAGACCAAAAACTGTGCTTCTGTGAAAGATGGAATAGATTTATTTTCCTGCTGCAGCCCAGCAAATATTGGGAGGATTTATCTGTGTAAATAAACTCTTGCAGTCAGATGAGTTAAAGATCCCGTTGGCTACAGCAACAGTCAAATCCAACAAAGAGTTAAGCATTTGCAACTCCACTGTGAAGCTAAACAGTTCTTAAAATTCAGCTGGCAGCCAGCCTCACTCGTCATCCGCCAATTTGATGCGTGCTTCAAGGATCTGGCCCAAACAGATGAGCTGCAAGCCAGTAATCCAAACAAACAGAGTGAGGAACCAAGAAGCATCCCTAGGAAGTTATGTTAGCACCACTCGTGGAGGCGGGTCTGCGCTGGTCCACTTCAGCTGCATTACAGGCTGGAGAAATTTAAGCAACCTCATAAAGTGTATCAGATAAGAATAAATGATAAAAGTTAACTCTTTCTTCCAACTGTGTTATTCTTATTTTCAGAATTTAAAAAAAGTCATTTGAATGGCTAAAGACAATACATATTATCTTTACAATATGGGAGACCATCAATTGGTCTTAAATTCTCCGAGTGCGATAATCTTGGGTGTAAACGTTGCTATTTTATTGGCTCATGATATTTAAAGGGATTGTATTATGTAAAATTGACTTTTTTGGAGATTTGCATCATGTTACAATGTTATTCCCTCATCAAAAAGATACACACACAAAAAAAATCCTTTATTCTACCATGTCCACCACTCAGCTGTGCAAAATGCATGGGTGGACCTAGCCCCGCCTCCGGGGACGAAGCTCCTCCTCTGAGCTCCAGTTTCCGAGCTTCTGCCTCACAGAGCGGCTCCTTCAGACTAGCCAGCAGCAATTAGCAAACACCTGGTGGAACAGAGTATCTGCTGAGCTCATTATAAAAGCCATTTCTGAGAGAAACACTGATAAAAACCTTGTTAAAAGCCGAAACTCTGCATTTTAGAAAGATCAGGAGTTTTTAAAGAGACAGAGGCCCAATTTTCAAAATTCATTTCTTTAATGCTATAATATATATATATATATATATATATATATATATATATATATATATATATATATATATATATAGCATTAAATAATTGGTATTTTTATTTTGATCCACATCTTAAGAAAAACAGAATAAACACTACATTTGAATCATTATACACTTCACAAACATTTTGACAAGCTGTGGTATCAAGCCTGTGGTATCTTGTTTTGGATGTTAAGGACCTTGTTAAAATATCTTTTTTGTACCAAATCAGTTTGCAAATCTTACTTTGCTTTACAAACATGTTGCCGTTAGCGAGCCAAATTTATTGTTATAAGAGTGATGAGTGATGTTCCCTTAGTTTCCACATCATCACTGCTTGTTTTTCTCAACCAAAGTCATTTGGTCACCTGATTTTGTCTTTCTCATCTTCAAGGGAAAAATTGTAATAGCTTTATTTCAACATACTGACAAGAAGTCAGTATGCCTCTCCCTCCTAACAAGTGAGGGAGGGGCTTTGTTTCTCTGTACTCCACAAAGGAAACTGAGCATGGACCTTCTCTGGTGCTTCTTGAAGAAGCACTTTAAACCATAGGAGTAGCAGGACAATTTTTAGCTCACAAACCTTGCTGTACTTTCTGAACCATCATCAGCTCATCTCAATTAAGAGACATACAAAATCTGAAAACAAAATCTGACAGAGCGACTGTTTTTGTCACTAAAGCTGAAGGTAACTGGCTCTACGCTGGTTTAAAAAGCAGCAGGACCCTGACAGCCTCCCTTTACTCTTTCACTATGTAATATTCTCCCTGATGACCCTGACATACAAACACATCTTGTTAAATGCAAACCGTGTTTCTATGGTGATATTAATGCACATAATCTGAGGGTAGTAATAGACTCTTTTGAAGAACACATTAATATGGAACATAAAGAGCATTCAAAGCATCTCATAATGTATTTATGAGCAGATGGAGAGAAAAAATATTTCATCTTGATATTTGATTGGAAGCATCAATGTTTCTAGAATGCAGGCATAGTGGACGGAGTAGTTAAGGGACACTTAATTTCTCAACAGCCAATCAATTAAGCATCAGTTTACTTATCAATACGTATAAAAAGAGTCTGTGTGACATGACCAAATCAGAGTTTCACCGGTGGCCGTGTTTGGAAAACCTATAACATGATGTTGAAAAAGATGTGCCAGCGTCTCCCAGTCTGTGCTGCGTGACACGGGCCGAGTTTTCTCCAAGGTAACAAATCAGTATCAGCAATTAAGAGCTGCAGAAGTGAATAAAGCTTCTTTGACCACCTGTTCAACATTTTCACATTCACTGAAGGAGTGCTCCGTCCCTCCTGGGAGCACCTCACCATCTGTTTTTATCTAAAATATATAACATTTTGACATCCAACTACAGCACACTCTTTGCTAGGCGCAGCCACCTTAAAGCTTCCCAAGAGCTACAGCGGGTGTCTTTTTATTTAGTAATATGCTTTATCAATTGTTTCGTTAATGTTCGATTTAAAATAAAAAATTAAAAACAAGATATGCAAACTGATTTGGCACAGAACAAATCTTTTAACATGGACGTTTACATTCAAAACAAGAACTTTTGCTTGTTTGTAACCTTTCTTGACTTTGTAATTGCTTCTACAAATCAATCAGAGTTCACAATATTTAGCAAATCCATTTTATGTCAAAGTGAAAATAGAGTTCTACAAAATAATTACAATTAAATAAAAATATGTAACCTAAAGTAAGTGGCAGTGTGATCACAATCAAATGGGTGCACCCAGGTCAACTTCAATAAATGCTTAAGGGTATTTTTGGTTCTACTAACAACGAAGTTAAAAAGAAATTAAAAAGAAAATTATTAATGTAGAATTTTTACTGTTCTCAATGTTGTTCTGTTTGTTAGTTGTAACTCAAAAAAATAATCTCCAACTGATATATACATCTGAAACCAGAAGACATACACCTATTAAATACTTTTTTCTCACTGTCTGAAGTTAAATCTGTTGTTTTAGGTTAGTCAGAATTACCTAAATTACTTCTATTTAGTAGAAGTCAGGATACTTGTCTAGATTTTTTTAAAAAACATCCTCTTTCAAATTCACACATTTACATACACTTGTTTTCTTATTTTGTGAAATTGAGATCATATAAATTCTGAAAAAACTGAAAGCATATCATTTTTGAGCAGCTATAAGGTGCTGTGATGTCATTTCCTGCAGAAAGAAGTCTCTGCAGCACAACTCTATTCCTCATAGGACTCTTGTGTTCAGGACATCATTGCAGTTGGGTGTGACTGCAATAAAAACCAAAACGAACAAAATGATTCTGTTTCTCCTTCTTTAGCTCGGCTTTCCATCGTAATCAATTCTGACCGCTGGAAAAACGTCTCCGAGCGCCTTTGGAAAAGTACAGTTTGCAACTACATTAGCTCTCGTGTAACGACAATCTGTTCAAAGCATCCACCGAAAGAATTCAAAGAAGGTTTTAGATTAGCTTAACAAGGAGGCTGAAGGACTGCAGATTTGTTAAACTTGGAAAAAACATCAAACTAGAACTGGAGAGTCGCTGTTTTTCCCAACTAAACCAAGACGACATCATGGGACCACTCACTGAATCTCATTAGGACAACTTGTTGCTTTTTTTAGCCACTTTCTCAGACAGAAAAGCAATGACAGGCCAGAACTGTTATAATGTAAAATCTACATATATATATATATATATATATATATATATAATGTTTAACACTTAAAAATCTTTTTGCTTAGGAATTAATTAGGATATGAATTTCTTAAAGAACATTTTACTCTTGAATTACACCTATTTTTAATACATCCTGTTAAATTTTTGAGGCTTAATTAGAATTTTCCAAATTTCTATCTATGCATAAATGGCACGTTTGTATAGCTCACCAAAGTCTAAAAACACTAAAAAGGTTTTTTTTCTTATCATTTGGCTTCTCTGTGTTATGCTGATGAAAGGAAAGAAAACACTGCAGAAACTAAGCTGAATTCTTTAAATGTCCTTTTGGGGATTAACGGAGGTCATACATTTTTAATAGTAAGTTAAGTTAAGGCATTGAATAGTACACTCATCATAGGGCCTTTATAAAAACTAATTACTCTATAACATTATTTTAAAAATATTATTGTACACACTGGATCGGCTTCGGGAAAGATTTCACCCGTTCAAATACAAATCTGCGTTGTTTTTAGCATGCCAAATCCATAGGGGGCAGTGTAGCGCAAAGCCAAAACCAATCAGCCAATCAGATTGCTTCAAAACAACTATGACTTTATGTAAGGAATTAAACATGACACCAGGAGGTTTACTTGTGTGCACAAATCTGTAGGTTGAACTATTTTTAGAATATAAACGTATAAAAAAAAACACAAAAACATTAATTGTGAATTATGTCAAAGCAAGCATGTGGATATATTGGTGCATTATTTCTCCAAGACTGTAATGCGAGGGACTTAAATCTCCATTTTCCCTTGTTTATACAAATACAGACTTTTCTGTAATCTCTATTTTGGTGGGAGTTTTTATTAATAACCGTTTTTCGTCATAAAAACTGCGTTTTTGTGGTTGAAAGGCCAAGAAGGCCATAAACAAAAGATTTAGAAAAACTTACCTAAATACCAACACTAACAATGGTCAGGATCACAGGACAAGTCACCTGGAAAGAAGCACAATAGAGACAGTCAGTTTTAACAAATGAGTAATAATTTCCAGAGAAAAAAAACAGACCTATCTAGATCAATAATGTGGTTCAGTGTCGGGTTGCAGCAGCCGTTTGAATCCGTCTCCGCCTCAGTTGTTTACTTAAAGAAAGTTAACATTAAAGTGCAGTTCTGCCTCCTGAAGTGAAACACCAAGTTTTGACTGCAGGGGATAAATTCAAAAATGATAATTGTGAGTGAAATTGCTATTTCTGGTGTTGTGAATGTCCTACATTCTGTTTAGATGCAGGTAAGGGTGGGTGGGGTGTAGAGGGAAGGTGGAAGGATTTCTTTTTTTTTTTTGTCTCCAGGGCCTTAAGATGTGCATTCCTCTTGCTGAAGAAAGCTTTTGTTCTGATAAATTGACAGTGTCAATTTCCCACATTGCCACTGTGTGGCATATACTACAGGGAGCAGCAGTGGGAACACAGATGCTACGCACGATTGGCATCACTCAACCTGACAGCTCTTGTTTTTTGGGCCTTTTCTTCCTTTTTTCTTTCAAGGGGGAGGGTGGGCTATTTTTTTTTTCTAAATCTGAACTTCCAAGTCGAGGAAGCAGGAAGGAACGGGAATTAATACACCTACACATCCCTTCTCCCTTTGGAAAGGGGGGAAGGAGTCTTTGTACTCGCATCATAATTACTGGTGGGCGCCACTTCTGGATTGTTATACTCTCCGCCCAAGTTGAAAACAATATTTTGAGGACGCGCAGCCGACAACTAGGTCTCGTTTCCTTAAGTTTACTTGGTTCCCCCCCCCATCTTAATTTTGAGAAGCAGAGTTCTGGAAGTTCTATGCTCTCTATTTCTCCCCCCAACATACTGCTTATCTGCAAGCACGCAGTCAGACACAGAGAGGCAGTATTCAGATTCAGCAGCAGCCTGAACCTGGCATTGGCACACAAATATTACTTCTACACTGTGTGCACAATAATTACATCACCATTTTGAGGTACTTATTACCGAGGTTTAAGGTCCAAAGAAGCTTAAAAGTTGTGATAAATTCGGTCTTCTATCACCTGAAAAACATTTCTAGGATTAAAGGACAAAAGTCCAAACAAGACCTAGAGAAACTCATCCATTTGTTTATCTGTAGTCACATTGATTACAGCAATAAAGACTTCATAGGTCAGCCTCTCAGGTCTTCTGGTTCTGGTTCTGCATCCCCAGAACCAGAACCAAACACGGAGAAGCAGCATTCAGCTTCTATGCATAACAAATCTTGAACAAACTTCCAGAAAACTGTAAAACAGCTGAAACACTGAGCTCCTTTAAAGCCCCACATGTTTAGCATCGCCTTTTATCAGTAATAAATGGAATATTGATTAACATATTTCATGTGTAATTGCTTACTGGTTTTGATGACATTTGACAAAATGTAATGTTTATTCCTTGTTTCATAATTTGTGAGTGCTTGCTGTTTTTTATAATGTAAAGCACTTTGTTCTGCCTTGTTACTGTTATGTACTACAGCTACACCAATAAAATTTACTTCAAAATCTGATTTCCACCCCCCCTTCTGTTCAGGAAATTAATGCCAAATTGAAAATTATTACCTATGTGTTTGTTGTGATTTCAGTTAAATAATTTAAAAGGTCAGGGAGAGGTGCTCTGATGCATAAATGAGAATTTATATATATATTTTTTATATATAGACACATAATAATTTTGCGCCCTAACAGTTGCCCAGTATTTGAGCGACTATTGTCAATATATGGTAGATATTCTTTTACCTTCCTAAATGTTCAGGTTTGATGAGGAATTGTTGTTTCCTAATTATTGTAAAAACAGAGAAATACACAAATTCTCATGTAGAGTTATTTTTGTTTAGGTCCCATAGTATGGGCGCCGAGCAGCGGACAATCTGAGGAACAAATTTGGAGAAACTATTATTACAAGTAACAAAAACACTGCAGTGTTTCTTATGCAGATTCTATTTTTATTAACCGCTCCTAAACTCCTACCAACCTGCATCATACTAAGAAACTAAGTAAAAATTTAGGTTTTTGTAAGATACTGAGAACTACTAGTAAGGGTAGGAGTGCTTTTACAAACTTTGGCACTTGCTGTTCTTACCTAGTGTCTGCTGAGAGCGCAGAACTGTGAAATACTCACATCTATGACCTGCTGGACTTTACATGTCCGCTGAGCAGATTGAACCATCTGTCCTTGTAGATTAGACTGAGACAACAACTACTAACTGAAGATCTTTAAGACATAATTATACAGACCTTCATTTACCTGCAGCAGATTGAGTGAGTGCTAATGTTTTAATTAACCTTGAGGATTCCCACTCTGACAGGTGCTTATGTTCTGCCTGGACGGGATCCAGCTCGCAATGTTCCGCACCGATTTTCTGTTAAGCAACTCTTTCCGAAGAAGTGAGATGAATAAAGGTTTGTTTTGGAGCGGAAAAGATTGTTGCACGTTAGCTACTGGGTAACTGACGACTGGGTTTTTTTTTTCTTTTCAAAAAAAAATCAGATTAGGGAAAGTTTTTGGAAGAACCTGTATTACAAATGCCATAGGAACGCCTAAATAAAAAGCAAGCAATATAAACAAATTAATATTTAACAAGATAAAATGAAATAACAAATTTGACCTAAAAATAAACAATAAAGTACATTTTAACAAAAGAACATGTCCAGTCTCTATTTCTGCAGGGCAGGTAGTCCAGAGTACGTCTGTCCTCTGGCAAAAAAATATGAACACATTTAAAACAGAAATAAACGAGGATATAGTTATATCAGATCAAGGTGGAAATAAATTGCAAAGCTACGTTTATTTATATAGCACATTTTCAGCAACACAAACAGCAATACAAAGTGCTGGGGGCAAACCAGTTGGACTACAATACCAGTCTGAATAGGAGAGGGAGTTCAGTTACTGATATGTCTAATAAAGAACAAACATAATATTTAATACATCTGAGTAAGGTTTAGAGAACAAACAAGGCAGGATCCAATCATATTATCAATATCATTTTGATCAGAAATATATAATCCATTGCTTTCCGATCAAACAGCTCCACTCTGCTGTTTTTCACATCCGTTCGTTTTTGTCCTGACTATTTGAGGCAAAACTGAGAAGCCATGAGTATCGAGTTACGTCAGGGATTTAGAAGGTTACAGCCTCAAAAACTACAAAAAATATAGATAAATAAAAACCCATCCAACTGTTCCTATTGTTGAGAAAGCTCAAATATTACTGGTGGGTTTCTTTCTAGCTGTAGGGAATATTATTTCTGAGCCTCCTCCGTGTTTTGCTGCACACTGCTCGCCAGCTGCCTGAAAGAGAGCTCACTGTAGAGAGCTCACTGTAGAGACAAACTAGCCTGTTCAGAAACATTTCCCGGCCAAAACGTTCAAAATAAAACTCGCGGAACAGCAGCATTCAGCGACTGTCCAGGAGCAAACAGCCTATCTAAATCAATTGAAAACAATTAAATAGAAAAATAATTATGTTAAATGTCCAGTCCAAACCCCAGTTTTCACTCCATCGCTGCTGGAGACCCGCACCAGTACGCCTGGTGGCCCCACTTAGGATAAGCGTGTTTGATAGTGGATGAATGGATATTAAATGTTTATCTGAGTGTTTTCAAAGAGATTTTGTGAATGCTGACGCTGTGGACAGGAAGATGCTCGAGTGTCCTAAATCAGCCAATGGCGACTCTGTTAAATTCTTAAACTTCCAAATAAAAGTTCAAAAAGTCACAGATGATTGTTTGAGTGTATTTGGACGCAGTGGCCTTGGATCCTTCCAATATGGTAGTTATTGTCTGATTTAAAAGCTAATGCAGTAATAAAAGCTGTTATACTAAATCATGCATCAGTCAGAAAGAGTCAGCCATGTCTTGGATCTTCTTTGGCATAATCTTCCTAATATTGGCACCGTCCACAACAACTGGACCTATTCTAATCTGGAATACCCAGAATACAATGGGTATTCCAGGGTTTTACTCCGGTTTTGAGACTCCAACTTAATATACATTCAGTGAAATCTCTTAAGACGTTCTCAAAAACATGCAAACCCATATTTAATGTTGGTCAACCTGAGGAGTAACGTAAAAGCTATGATATGATGGTTGACATTGCTGAGCAGCACTATGCATGTGCTACTAAATTATTATACTGCCAGAAGAAGAAAAAAACAGTAAAGTTGTATTAATTTAAGCATTCCAAAGTCACTTTCATCACCAATTGGAAAACTCGCTGTGGCTTTACAATCTAACCTGGACATCCTTGAAAATGTTCTGTCTTACTTATATTTTTTCTTTCCATAGTTAAATAAAATGAGGCCATTTCCTTCAACGCTAGTCCCATTATGATAACCTCTGATAGTCTTTTTAGTCCCATAGGCCAAGGCAACAAGACAAAGAGCTAAATGCTGGAATTATCAAAGCCATTAAATGTTCAGATAAAGTAATTCGCTATCAAACACAACTGATCATCCAAGAATATTAGACCATTACAGCAATTCTAAAGAACCACGATCTGTCAAAGAAATGCAATTTCAGTTCTGAAAAGGTCTTTATTCGTCAGGTCATGATGGCTGGGATTCAAAGAGAATTAGAAAAACTTTGCCGTCACATTGCCGTCCGGATTGCTCTGCTGTTTCGCTTACATTGGCTGTAAGCTACGGAGTGATTTTTTTAGCTGAACAACAGCCGACACAAACATGCTCATCATTCAGCACCGCTTGCACATCCTTGGTAATGCCTTCACCTTTTTTACTGAGCTTTACTTTATATGTGATCCTATGGGTAAACTCCAAAAATTCAGACAAAATTTGACAACTTGATGGTTTCTTAGTCAGCGTGGGCCCCATTCAGAGCCAGCGGGGCAAACGGGAATCTGCCTCAGGGCAACAGGGAACGCTGTCAGTGGGATTATTAGAAAAGACTGTTTTCCTGACCGCCTGTTCATTCAAGAGACCTTCCCCTGAAGAAAAGCAGC